CACAAGCACTTCTTCTGGACTCACGGTACTTAATATGTAATGTTTAATGCTCCTTAAAAAGCTGTGTACATATAAAAGTTCAGATTTTGAAAACTAATTTCTGAACTGTTTGGCAGAATTATTTGGTTAGGACCTTCCTTGCTTGATTATGGTGTAGAGTTGCCTACAACCCTTTGGGATCTGGACCTTAGCGCTTTATATGGTCACAGTGCTTTACTATTACTAATTAATATATTTGTAGTAATATTAATACACTGGATAGCATTAAAAATTGAGCATTTGCTCCCTGGCAGTGATTGTGATATCTGCTAGTCCAAGAGCATGAAGATACCACATTTCTGAATGCATTGAGGACAGTGAATATTTAGTTTTTAGTGGTCTTCCCAGATGACTTTGCTTCTGTCCATCAAAGTTATTCTGTCATTGAAACAATGACAACATGGAGCTAAGAGTCATGATACTGCTGAAGCTTCTCTCAGTCTCTTCCAGGGCTGGCTTTTCCATGAGGCGAACTGAGGCGGCCACCTCAGGTGCCAGACTGTGGGGGGGGAGGGTGGTGCCACTAGGACCCAGAGTGTAGAAAATTGTGTCTGCTGCAGGTGCAGCAAGGGGACATGGGGGCGTCATTTGAGCTCCCTGCCTCAGGTGCCAAAACGTTGTGGACCAGCCCTGGTCTCTCCAGACATAATACAGAAGGGTCCAGATTGATGAGCAGAGCTGCTCAAACAGATTTTTCTGCTTGCTGGCAATTAAAAAAAATGGTTTAAGATGGAACGGAATATGAAATTTCTAAAAATATGTGATGAATCAAAAAGTTTTCAAAAAGTCATTAAGCTGAATGTTTTATTTTGGTATCAAACATTTTTATATGTTTTAATTGGGTTTTTCAATATAATTATAGGAAATTTTGCACAAAGTCATTTTGAACTGAAAAACTGAAAAGATTTGTTTAAAAAATGTCAAAATAAAATGTTTACTTTGTTGAATTTTTCAGGGGGGTTTAAATCAAACAATTCAATGAAATTAATCTGAATTCACAAATTCTGTTGCTGCTAACTGCATATTTTCTTAAAAAAAGTTTTGTGTGAAAATTTCACACCGTTGTATTTCTGAGCACTTAGAGCTTAAAAAAAGTTTTAGCTGCAAAGATGAAATAAATATGGCTCTGCATGTCAGTTCTTGTATTCAGAATAAATCATATCATATATTCGGCTTATTTAAAATTCTTCCTGAAAAAATACAGTATTCTGTTTTCTTCACTTTCTATGCGTATGTCTGCACTACAGAGAAGATCGAAGCTGCTGCTATCAATCTTCCATGGTTCAAATTAGCAGCTCTAGTGTAGACAAGCTAAGTCGAAATGAGAGGGGCACTCCAGTCAATGATAAATATACTATCTTGTTAGTCTTTAAAGTGCTACGTAGTTCTGTCTTTTGTTTCAGTCGATGATGGCAATCCTGCTTCCACAAGGAGTAAAGGAAGTCGAAGGGAGAGTGTTCTCCCTTCGACTTCCTGCAGTGTGGACAGCACCAAAAGTCGAGTTAAGGTACTTTGACTTCAGCTACGCAATTAATGTAACTGCAGTTGTGCATCTTAATTTGACCTTATTCCATAGCGTAGACATACCCCATGTGTAGTTAACGAATTGCTAGGTTCTCCCCAGAATTGGCTGTCTTTCACTATTGGATGATGAGATTCCTGAACCTAGTTTGCAAAGAGATTTAGGGTAAAAGGCACTCTATATATGTTAGATTTTTTTTATATTAAGATGATTCTTAACTGTAACTATTTTTTTTCCTTCAGGCAGCAATGAAAATGATTGGCTTGACTTAAGTGAGTATTTCATCTGTCATAAATAGGTAAAAGCTATAAAAAGAGAACCCTGAAGGGAACAAAATTTCCTGTGCAGAAGAGATTAAGCAGGAAAAATATTTTCCTCTGTCATCCCTTTGTCTGCTCATGACTTCGGGTTATCAATATTCCCGGTTTTGGCAGGAGTCTCCTAGAGGCTACTACAGCCAATCCAGGAGATTTTAAGTTGCTAAAAGTTTAGCAGCACAGTGAGGCTAAGGCAGGTTTCCTGTCTGCTCTGGCCCAGTGCCACTCCCAGAAGCCAGCATGTCCCTGCAGCCCCTAAGTGGGAGGGCCAAAGGGGTCTCCATGCGCTTCCCCCATCTTGAGCACCAGCTCTGTAGGGATGGTGCCTGCTGGTGAGGGAAGCACACAGAGCTCCCTGTTCCCCCCACACTTTCAGGGGTTGCAGGGATGTACTTGCCACTTCTGGGAGTAGCACAGGGCCAGACAGACAGGCAGACAGTGATGCTGGAACTATTTTGAGGGTAGGGGTGCTGTGCTGAGCCCACCACACTTGTTTGTGCCCTGCACTGCCACAGTCTGGGGGGTGGCATCTAAGGTTGTTAAATCTCCCAGACTGGATGGACCAGATGTCATTGCTGCAAATGATATCTGGTAGCCTAGTCTGGGACAGTTGGCAACATAGCCACAGCTGGAGGTGGCTGCAGAACTTTGAGCTGGCAGTAGCACCCCAAGCAGCAGGGATACTTCCAGGGATGGTGGGCTGCAGAGCCCATGAGGATGGTGGGACCCCGGGGGTGGAGGGTGAAGCTGTCAGGATCCAGGACTAGCGAAGCCAACAGTGAGTCAGCAGCAAGGCTGGGCTCTGGGCACGAGGAAGCTGGATGCAAAACTTGGAGGTGCTGCACCTGCTCCCATACTCAAACCGCCTGTGCCTATGCAGACAGAGAGCCTGCCTTAGCCCCACTGCACTGCCAACCAGGAATAGCCCAAAGCAAGGACTATCTAGCACCCCTCCTCCACCCCAAACTCCTTGCCCCAGATCAGAGCTTCAGCTGTACCCAGTTTCCCTCCCAAAGCCTGCACTCCACACCCCCTCCTGCACTTCAACCTCCTGGCACAACCTTGAAACTCCCCAGAAACCAAACTCTCTGCCTCAGGCCTGAGGCACCTCTCAGAGACAGCAGGCCCAACTCCCTCCTGCATCCCAACCTCCTTCCCCAGCCTGGACCCGCCCGCCTTCCCCCACTAGCACCCAAACACCTTCTCAGAGCTTGCTCCCGGCATCCCCTCCTGAATCCTTACCTCCTGCCCCAGCCCAATGAAAATGAGTGAGGGTAGGAGAGAGTGAGTGACAGAAGAAGGGAGGATGTGGTGAGCAGGGTGAGGCTTTGGGTGAGGATATTTGGGGTTATGTGCTTAGTAAGTCTTAGACAGTTGGCAACTCAATCATGATTTCTTACAATAATTAACTGAGCCTTATTCTTCCCTATATACAAAATGAATGAATGTCTGCTAAAGTCACTCAGCAAAAATTATACTCAATATACTGATTATATGGCTTTGGCATTCCCATTTATTATTTACCTACATTCAAATTTTCACTGAAACACTTTACTTCTACCTATCACAGCATTCCCTATATCTATAGAACAGCATTTCTCAACCCCCTTTTTCGAAAGAACCCTGTAAACCTCATTTTTTCAGGAAAAAGGGTTTTTTTGAAAAAGGGTTTTTTTCTTGAAAGAATCCCATGTAGACTGCTTTTTTTTTTTTAATCTCTTCCGAAAAAGCAATCGGCAGAGATTATGCAAAAGAAGCAAGAGATTTGTAAATCAGCATTTGCATTCCTTTATCAAAAGAGGAATGTTGTCTAGATGCACCTTATATGTCCCACTAATACCTTTTTAGTAGAAAACTGGCAAGACCCAAACAAGCTAGCCATGTAAGCTCAAAGCTGAGCATTGTATTCATGGTAAAATATGCAAGGTTTGACTGGAAGGATCAGTGGCAATGTTTAACCAACTCCTATTTTCCAGATGACAAAAATGAAGAGTCCTGGAGTGGACAAGATGAGACTATGCTGCGTTCAGGTAATAGTTTCTTTTACACTTGTTGGATAAAATAGATGAATATTTTGTAAGCACCTTCTTTCAGAAGGAGGTAGGAGGTGACCATTATATGCTTTAAAGTTGATTGAAAAATAAAACAAAAATGTCATGGAAAATTCCAAATGTTCTGAAGTTGTTTCCAGTCTGCAGATTTGAAATAGGATGGGTGATTCAGTGCAAGGTGACTCATATAATCATCTTTATAAAAATAATCAATGTATATGAGGTTGAGGTTTTCTAAAAATAGTCTTAAAATTTGTGCTATTACAACATTAGATTAAAATTTATAATAAATGTTCTTTGAAGCAATCCCTCCCCCCAAAACAACTATTGAAAATAAAGGTTCTAATCCTGTTAGCAATTTTATCAAGTTAACTCTCATGCATCATTGACTTCAGGTGCTTAAGTATGTACCCCTAAATGTTTGCAGCATCAAGACCTAAAATTCTTTTATTTTAAAGTCCTCTTAGTGCAGGGGTGGACAATAATTTTTGACGGGAAGTCTCTCCGAAAATTGGGTAAATGGTCAAGGATTGCACTCTTCCATGATATTAATGGAGGAGGTGCAGGATCTGGGATGGAGATTTGGTGAAGAAGGGAGCTAAGGGTAGGTGATTGAGGTCCAGGAGCTGGTGTGGGGTCTGGGAAGAAGTTTGGATGAAGGAAACGGTTGTGACATGGGCCATTGGATTGGGGTACAGGAGGGGACACAGGGTCCAGGAAGAGGAGCAGGGTCTGGGAAGGGGTTGTGGGCTAGGGCAGGATAGACTTGAGACCTGGGGCAGAGGACTGAGCTGCAGAGGAGTGCAGGATCTGGGAGTGCGTATGGGTACAAGAGCAGAGCCGCAGAGGATTTGTGTTGTGACCTGAGACAGCGGTGCTCAACCTGTGGGGGTTGTAGCTGTCTTCTGTGGGGGGGAGGGGAGGTGACACAGCACTGTGATTCAGACAGTCAGTAGTGCAGGGAGTGGCATTTATTTAAAGGGGCCACGCTTTTTTGTTGTTGTTCTACCAAAATTTTCCCGAGAGTTACACCAGGAAAAAGGTTGCGCACCACTGACCTGAGACATGCAGGAGGGGATGCAGAGGGTTTGGTTTGTGACCTGAGGCAAGGAGTGCGGGTGCAGAAGAGAGTGGGTGTAGGCTCTATCAAGGAAGTGCTTACCTTAGGTGCCTCCTGGCCTTCAGCCCAATGGGATCCTGGGACAGGCTCCCTGCCTGCTGCGCCCCTCCATGCCCAAAGCAGCCAACTACAGGGTCATGTGCATCTCTACATGCTGTGCGCCTGTGACTTTAAGCCACAAACCCTGGGATAGCCTGCTTTTAGAATCAAGATATTTATAAGACCATGATAAAGTCTTTTAAACATAAATGAAGATTTAAATGTGAACATTCTTGGTAAAATTTGAATGTCTAACATAGGAAACTAAAGAACCGAGTACAAAATACCCTCTTTAGAAATCTAAAACACTGAAATGAGATAAAATTCAAACACCTACAACATGTAAATCCTTTTAAAACCAGTTTAAATACCGTTTGTTTGTATGCTGTTTTTAAAAAAGTATAATTTTTACAAATTCTGATTCTAAATGAAGGCATTCTTTTTCAATTTCTAATAGCTGAAATGGTTACTAAAAATATTATGAAGCCCATTACCAAAATGGTTATTTGAATATTGAATTTTAATTATTCAATACCTGTTTTGATTAAAAATTGACTAAAATGTTGGGAAAAAATCATTACATTTTAAGGGCTTTTTAAAAAATATTTCATTTTGACAAAAATATTTGAAAAAATATCATCCAGATTTTTCATTTTAGAATAAAGACCACTGACACTGATGCTAACATGCTCAGCTCTTATAAAAATCTGACCATTTCTTTTACTGTCTGAATGGCAACTGAGCTTTTTAGAAAAACGTGTCCCAATCTGGGTACTGACAATTTTTAGAAATCTGACCATGAGTGAATTATTCGAATGCCTTTATTGAATTTAGGGGGTTTTGGCAAACCACAGCACAGTTCAGTTCACTATATTTTATCTCTTCTATACTCCTCCAAGTCCCTCGTGGCATGTCTGGAAGAGGCCTAACCACATGTCTCTACCAGCTCAGTATTATTCTGTGATAGGTTCACTGCATCTACATTCCAGTTTTTCTTCAAAAGTATCTCATGCCTTTAACAAAGTTGGTTCCATCGAAGACAAACTGCACAAACAACAAGTTTTTCAGTTCACTGGCAATTCCAAAAAATATCAAAAAAAGGAAGTTTTGTTTCAGTTTACACCAACAATATTTTAATGTTCAGCAAATCAAAAAGTAGAAAAAAAATCATTTGACACAAAAAAATCTTCCTCTTTCATTTAACGTTTAATGAAACATTTAAATTTTTGTCTATTTTCCAATATTCAATTTTTTAAATACAATTAAAGGAAATTATGGAACAAGAATAATTTTGAAATAAAATATTGGAGCATTTTGTTTTGAAGATGTAAATAAATGATATATATATTTTTTTGAGTTGAGGGAAAGTTTCCAGCCAAAACAATTTTTCCCAAAACAACATGAATTTGTGGACTGTTCCTGTATTGCCAAATTGGCATTTTTCACCAAAAAAGTTTTGTACAAAAGGTCACCTACCTCTACATATTAATATCACAAGAGAGAGAAAGCACACTACAAACCTGGTATTAAGACACATTTTCTGGGGCAGTGAGAAGAAAAATTGCTATGGTGTTATCCGAGCTGTATTTCCCCTGTATATAAATAGCCAGCTCAAATGTGTGTCAGAGCATCTTTCACAAACACTGTGTTCACTTAAAATTTAAAAGAGAGAAAAAAATAAGATGACCCAATGCAGATGTCATTCAGAGACAAAAAATAAAGGAGAAGAATTACAGGTATATAGATACTCTGGAAAAAGAATAGATCCGAACTTAAACATAAATTCAGTTTCTCTGAGAGTTTTTTTAAATGTCAAGCTCGTCAGCATTTCCAGCTATTAGAACACCTCTGGTAATGTTTGGAATGACTGTCAGCCTCATCAAACATGGCATAAGACAACCTAAATACATTTTCTCTTTCCTTTCTTAGACAAGGGCTCATGTTCTACCTGGGGTGCAGGGCATTTCTCTACCTTTGATAATTATTTGTATGACTTCTTTGGGACCTGCAACTACATCATGGCTACCGTATGCAATGATGTTACCCCAGACTTCAACATCCAGTTCCGCCGTGGGATGAACAAAAAAATTGAAAGAATCATCATTGAGATGGGAGCTGTCATCGTCATAGTTGAAAAAAGCATCATTGTAATCAAAGGTGTTGGGTAAGCTTCAGGGATATATCAAATCACAGTGAGTAATGAAAGGCAAGAAGCTATGTGAGATACACTAGATAGCTCTGTGATGGTACTGTAGAGACAGCTCAGTCTCTCCATTTCAGTTATCCATTTCATGCCCAAAGTGCATTAATAAATTATAGAAATTAGACACAAACTATCTACCTAGCCACCAACTTTTTCTCCTCCTATGAAAGCAGATTATAATTGCCAAATAAATGTACATTAAATGTAGACTACACCTATGGAAAATACTCAGTGTGAAGCCAAAAAGCAGGTAAAATATCTCATCTCACAATAATTCCCAAATTAAAACTCTATTGACATAAACCTTACAGAGGTCTTCTGTGAGACTAGTTCTAGTTTCAAATTCCTCTGGGCCAGCTCACAAAATTAGGTGAAATTTAGAGGTTAAATATGTTTTGTTTTGAGCTCATTTTAACCTGAACTTCAGTGACTGTGAAACCAAACTTTTGAGTGTTGCACTTTTGTAGGGGAGCAGAAAATAGGAGAACCTCTAGAGACTTACTTGGAACACCATACCTGCCATGGCTACTTTCTGTTCTCATTATTCCTATAACTACCATATGAAGAATACAACAAAATCAGGGAAACAGATTGCTGGGGAGCTTTGAGAAATGTGTCAATTGCCTTCCAGAAGCTGACATTCCCATAACGAAACTTCAGCAATGTTCATGAATTAGGCAACTCTGAGTTTTTGCCTGTGGTAAACACAGAGAAAGGATATGGATGGCTATAGAAATTTCATATTTTATTATATTCCCCTGTGTATTTACAACTATAGTCTGCAAAAAAAAACCCACACCCAACAACTAAAAATAAAAACAGGTCTTGTTCCTCCAAGTGGACACAGTTTTTCAACTACTGTAATAGTAAACTCACTTTGTATAAATTAATAGTCATTGTTTCAGGGACTTGAGCTTCCCACCTTCCAGGGAAGGAATCCTAATAATCTGGCTAATGAATCACACTGTGTCTCTGGCTGAATGACTAATTATTTATCCATGTAGAAACAGCTTTGGCTGCAGAGTCCCACATCAGAATATTCCATAGGCCAGGGGCTAGAGCACTCTCATGCAACAGAGGAAACCAAATTCAGACCCCTTATCACCATTAGGCAGAGGGAAGAACTGAACTTTTACCTCCCACATGAGTGCCCTAACCCTAAAGCTTATCAGAGAAATTATATCAGCACCAGCACCTTCAACTATTATGTGGCTCTAGCCCCTTTAAAAACACCCAGGAACAAAATGTTTCAGGTCATACAAAACATTGCATGAGACCTGAAATGGACTTCTTTGATTCGCTAATTTTTTTTACAATTTTCAAATTCAGTTAGACCCGAGCCAATTTTTTAAAATTATTTGGAACTGCCAGCGAGCCAAAAAAATTAATTCACCTAGCTGTTCTCATAACTTATACTTCCATATGGCAAACTGCACTGAAAAATACTCAGCTTATGATTGATTTGCAAGGACAATTATAAATGAATGGAACTGCTTTTTAAAATTGGTGTCCCCATACTACAATGATGAAATGTATTCAATATATATTTACACTTTATCATCACTGGTCTGTAGCATTAGGGTTTCCTGTTCACAGTGCCAAGCCTCAGCACTAGGAGATTTCCTATATGAACACTGACTGTGATGCTCATGACCTCTTCAGGGTCATGAGTGACAGCTACTGCTACTCAGACAATGTGTGTGTGGAGATACCTATGAAGAGATTAGCAATTGCTTTATAAAATCCAAACCAGTTATTCCCCCTCAATCCATATGTGCTTTTCCCATGCTGATTTTTATTATAATAATCAGGCCTTAGCTGTATATTGTTGGTCTTTTTTTAAATTGTCTGGCATTCAGTAGCATTTTTCAAATATCCTGAAATGTCCCAGCTATGAGGGAACAAACAAAGCTCTTTCTTAATTTGCCACAAAATACCCATGGGGTACACAGATAGCTATGCAATATCTCAATACAAAACAATGGCTGCCTAGAAGTACCAGATCCTACCATACATACATTTACATAATAGGATTAAACTTTTTCTCTTAACAGTGTCATCAAATTGCCATATACCAGCAATGGACTCCAAATTGCACCTTTTGGACGCACTGTCCGCCTGGTGACCAAGCTGATGGAGATGGAGCTGATAGTCGTCTGGAACAACGACGACTATCTCATGGTGAGTAAAATCTTGTCACAAATCAAAAGAGAAACTTTTGCTGGAAAACTAAAAACTTGCTAGCCCTAAATGGGTGTTTTTATGTGCATGTATTGTTGTTATTTATACCGAGATTGTAAATGTGTCCTTTAAAAGTCTTTAAGTGTATGGAATAATGGCTCCTAAGCCTCCAAGGTGAGGACAGTATAGGCATTTACTCACCATTTCAATGGATGTAAGTATATAAAAATACATAAATCACAGTTTTCTTCTCACTGGCCACAATGCAGGTTAGTAGCAGATGTTGTCATTACTATTAAGTACTTCACTGATACTTCAGAGAGGTAGAGGGAGTCATATTGGAGATCTAGATATATAGGGTACTCATATTTCCCCATGCCAAATACAGAACACCAACGGGGGAGTGAGGGGCTGCCAGTGCTTGGGGCTTTAGCCCAAAAGGGGGAGTTGATGGCACTTGGAGGGGGACATGTGGCACTCAGGACTTCAGCCCTACAGTGGTGGGTGGGCGACACTCAGGGCTCCAGCCCCGCGGGAGGAGGTGAAAGGGGGGTCACTGGCTCTCAGGGCTCCAGTTCCGCAGGGGAAGAGGAAGAGGGGACGCCAGCACTCAGGGCTCCAGTCCCAAAGGGGGGGGGACTGCCAGCACTTGGGGCTCCAGCCCCAAAGCGGGGGTGGCAGAAGGAGCCACCGGCGTTCGGGGGCACTCAGAGCTCCAGCCCCAGAATGGTTGGAGGAGGAGCCACCAACACTTGGAGCTCTAGTGGCTGAAGCTCTGAGTGCCTGCGGCTCCCTGCCAACCTTGCCCCTTTGCAGGAATGAAGTTCAGCCCTGCAGCATGCAGTGTGGGGAGGGAAGGGGAGCCACTGGTGCTTGAGGCTTCAGCAGCTAAAGCCCTGATCCCTGGCAGCTCTTCCCCTGCTGCAGGGGAAATACAGGACAATGTGCCTGTTTTTTTTAAAAAAAGTTGGGACACCGGCAACAGACCTTAAAAACGGGACAGATGGTCACTCTATGGATATAGGAATAAATTGCTTGGGACTAGGTGGAAGAACAGTTTTCTACTGAGAATGTGATCCAGATACTTGTCTGTAAATAAACGTAGTACAGCCGTGTTTCTCAAACTGTGGGTCCCGACCCCCTGGGGGGTCACCAGCAACTTAGAGGGGGGTCATGAGCAACTTAAAGGGGGGTCTCGAGCAACTTAGAGGGTGGTTGTGAGCAACTTAAAGGGGGGTCTCGAGCAACTTAGAGGAGGGTTGTGAGCAATTTGGAGGGGGGTTGCAGTATCACAAAGTTTGAGAACCCCTGTAGTACAGTATATGATAGGTACGGGTCTAGCCTGGAGCACCCTCTCCTACACTTTGCTGGAAATTCAGGCCTAATTCTCTTCAGGTGTACACAGGTGTAAATTGGCAGCAACTTCATTAAAGTCAGGAGAATAAATAGAATGACACAGGAGCAAAAAAGAAACAAATAAGGACAATTAAATGCTCCATATTTAAGAAAAGCTCCTGTTTATCCGGAGTCCAGAGCTGTGACTATGATGGAGGTGGAGTTTAGAGAAAGCAGGGAGAAAAGTAAAACAAATCTAATGGGCAAGGACAAAAACTTACCAAGTCTTCAGACCTTTTATGAACAGATACGTTGAGGCGATGCCCATTTCCTCTTTCTCTCTCTCCACTGGCTTGGAAGATAGAAAAGCAACTGATGCTATGAAGCCCTAACCTAAGGCATCATTGCAGCAAAAATATTATGCACCTTGTTCATGTCCATAGCAGAAAACTACAGCCACACAATGCCTGTTTAGCAGAAACTCAACACAGTGTAGCAGCAATAAATCCTTGCAGGTCAGGTTTAAGATGCATTGATAATGCTCTATGGTGGAAACTAGCACATGGCCTTTTTAGAACTAGCTTAATAGGTCCTCGTTTGAAAGAGTACCAAAGCTACTACCTCATTAAAAGAAGCCAGATATATAAAATGTATTGATAAATTTAAGAAATCCTGGTAAATATGTTCTTTTAAAATGCTCAGTATGTGGGTTTTCTCTGGTATAGATGTGACATGGTAGACTCATGTATATTATCACCTGTACTGAGAATATATGACTGGGAAAAGAAGCATATCACTTTCACTTCTCTTCCCTCAAGTCACAGAAATTAACTAAAAAGGGATGACTTTATCTAGGTGTCCAAACTACGGTTAGTTGATAAGAAATATTGCCCACAGATATTTCTTAATTATGATATTTCCTTTGGTTTTTTTTATATTAGGTTATGGTTGAGAGAAAATATATGAGGAAAACTTGTGGAATGTGTGGTAATTTTGACGGACAGGAACTAAATGAGTTTGTGAGTGAAGGTAAGATCTGAGGCCAGGCCATAAGGGACTACACCAGATCACTGAGCACACTGAATAGGTAGATTCTTGTACTCTGATTATCTAGGCTGTTTCTGAAGTCAATAGGACCCCACATAATTCACTCCGGGTACGTCTACACAGCAGGGCTAAAGTTGAATTAAGCAATGTTAATTGTGTGCCTTAAGTCGAAATAGCTTAATTCAGCTTTTGGCACTGTCTACACAGCAGGAAGTCGGAGGAAGAACACTCTTCCTCCGACTTCCCTTACTCCTCATAAAATGAGGGTTACCAGCAGTCAGAGTAAGAAGTCTTCCAGCTCACCATTATTTCAAAATAAAGGTTTGTAGTGGAGACATACACTATGTTATTTTGGACTAACATTAGTTATTCCGAAATAATGCTGCTGTGTAGAAGTTCTCCAAGAGGCCTATCAACCGTCACATCCTGGTTCTTCAGAACAGGAAGAGCAGGACCAATTTCTATATGTATTACTATAGCATCTGAGGTCCCAAAATCAGTTATCAAATCACATTGTGCTAGGCACTGTACAAACATGGTATAGAGCAAGCACCCTGCCTTGGGAAATGTACACAATCTAGGTTTATAACAAAACATGACATGTGGATGAAACAGCCAATGAGGGGACAATGAGGTAACAGTAGAACAAACATGTTTTTGTTCAACATTCTACTGTCTTAGCTCATCACTTGACAAGCCTTTATCAGATGCAGTTTCCTGCACACATCATGGAGATGAGTTTTAAGGAGGGGATTGAAAGGCAATAAGATAGCTTTAAAGAGTTTGATTAATTTTGTCCCACCTGTGGGGGACAGCATCGGAGAAAGTTTACTTCTTCTACAAACCCCTTCATTCCAATTGGCAGTAAAAAGTGGCATTGTTGAAAGCTAATAGATCAGAGCAATGAGCCAAATGAAGGATACTAACAACAGCATTTTGAATGGACTTTGGAGGGGGCAGGGAAGGAGAGGCATAGCTGTAGTCATTAATGCCAGGGAAAAAGACGGTTGCAAGTGGTCAAGATCTGAGTTTTGGAGATATGGAGAGAGGGGAGGAGGAGGCCAGGTCTTAAATTTATCAGGTAGGAAGAATCTTCACAATTTAGGCACATCTTGGGTCTAGGGAGTAGAGTTAGTAAACAATGATAGTCAGATCTCAGACAGGAGTGATTGGAGAATAGTGTTATTATCCACATTGACAAAGAAAAGGAGGAGAGAGGAGCACTTAGTGAACATTGACTGTCAGTTTTGGCCCAGTTGAATTTAAACTTGAGAGCCGGACATCCATAAGAAGCCATCTAAAAGACACACTGAGATTTGGATTTGAACAGAGGAAGACAGTAGAAAAGTAGCATCATGTAGCTACTTCTTAGCAGGTTGCATAGGAACTTGACTAAAACCATTTGATATCATACAATGCCTTTCAGCCCACATAAATGTAGGAGCTGGCACACACATTCCTATTTTCATCTCGATGTCCTAGGCTGATGTCTGCTTTTAGGGAGAGCAAGCAACAGCCTCAAACACAACTGTTATAAATCATGGGACTAATTTTTCCCCAAACCAAGTCCATAACCTGCAGTTATGTCTCTCATCAAGTACCTGTACACTTTCTTTCAGTGTAGATAGGCAGATATGGTTCTATTATGAACTATGTTCCATTATTTTAGCAACATATTTTACTACATAGTTATTCACAAGCACATTATATGGTGAGAGAACAAAACATGAGCTTTTCTCCATGGCAATGCAGAAACACGAGCATTTGCTCATCAAACTATTCTAGACTTTTTCTGATCTACTGTGTACCTCAATTTGCAGGTAAATTGTTGGATGCACAACAATTTGCTGCTTTACAAAAAATGGATGACCCATCAGAGATCTGCCCATCTCAGGAGATGGCAATTCCCAACATTCCTCGCCAAAAATATGTAAGTATCACTTTTATATCCTTTTCAACTGCTTGAACAGAGAAGTAGAATTGGGAATCATGAGATGGCAGCTGATAAGACAGTAGTTAACATCACCAAAAGACATATGGTGTGTCTAGACTACAGGGTTTTTTCAGAAAAAATGTCCTTTTTAAAAAAAAAACTTCCCCTGCATCTAGACTGCTGCCACGTTCTTTCAAAAGTAAATTGAAAAAATGCAGCAGTTTTTTCAATCGTGGAAAACCTCATTTTATGAAGAATAACGCCTTTTTTCGAAAGTGTTCTTTTGAAAAAAGGTGTTATTGAACACGAACTGTGCTTTTTCGAAAGAGAGCATCCAGACTGCCTGGGTGCTCTCTTTCAAAAAAGTGGCTCACTTTTTCGAAAATATTGGCTGTAGTCTAGATACTCTCTTTCGAAAGAGGCTTTATTCAAAAGATTCTTTCAAAAAAGCCTCTTTCGAAAGAGGCTTGTAGTCTAGATGTACCCATAGGCTATGTCTAGACTGCAAGCCTCTTTCGAAAGAGGATCTTTCAAAAGATACTTTCGAAAGAGCCTCTTTCGAAAGAGCACGTCTAGACTGCACGTGGAATTTCGAAAAATCAAGCCGCTTTTTCGAAAGAAAGCACCCAGTGAGTCTGGATGCTCTCTTTCTAAAAAGCCTGTTTGCTGTCAAGAACGCCTTCTTTCGAAAGAGCACTTTCGAAAGAAGGCGTTCTTCCTCGTGGAATTAGGTTTACCACCGTCGAAAGAAAAGCCGCATTCTTTCGATTTAATTTCGAAAGAACGCGGCTGCAGTCTAGACGCAGGTGGGAGCAAGGAAAAGAGGCTCTTTGCACAAGTTTGCATATTTTAAACAGACCAGAAATTCCACCAAGTGTGGATTTATACGGCTCGCAAATGGAAACACAGAAGCTAAGCGCACAGCTTTCTGAAAGTTCACATGGGTCATTATACAAACTCTGCTGAGGTCAGTGTGCTTACACTGCTCTCTGTATTAGGCCAGTATGACTTCCCACTAAGCACTGTGTAAACTCAAAGCCATTCAGTGTGCAGCAATCGTTTTTCCAGGCAGCAGCCTCTCACCTGTGAGTGAAGTTAGTCAAACATGGTAGCCAGATTTCTGACTGGAGTGATGGGAGAATGGTGATATTGTCTACATTGACAAAGAAAGGGGGGAAGAAGAGGAGTACTCAGATGAGCACCTGCAAGCACAGAAGCATAGAATCAACTGTACAGTTTATTATGAATGATGGAGGCAGGGGCAAAGGAGGCAGGAGGCTGTTGAAAGGTGAAAGACTCCATAGAAGTCCAAGGATCTGCAGAACACTCAGCAGTTTCATTCTTCTATCTACTATGACATTTCATCAGGGGAAATCAAGAAGATTTCTGTTTCTTACACTAAATTTCTTGTGTTGAAGATTTTCTGGAATTTGCTTAAGACCGAGCACATATTTAAAAGCAAACACTTATTTCTGTCTTCTAATTGGTGCTGAGGTTACAGATATGGCTGTTCATTTTGGACTAATTATAACTGTATGTCAGAATATGCACTTACTTTACAGCTGTTATAAAGTGGTTACTGTTTTACTGTACATGGACACTATATAAATAGTGTGTGCTGAAAGAACAGGGATTTTTCTCTTGAAATGGACAGCATGACACTTCCCCCTATCCCTAATATTTAAAAGATTTTTTTTTACCATTCATTTGACAATCCAAGCATTCCATTAGATTTACGTTCTCCTGGAACTGCTGTCTCTAGTGCTCCAAAGAACAAGCAGGCAGTTACAATACCATTCTTCTCAGGATCATCACTTTAGCAGAACAGAGGAGAGAGAAATCATGGGTTCATCCCCATCCTGAAGGGCAAGGCAATTAATGGCAAGATCTAAGAAAGGGAGCTCTTTGTTTGAACAAGAGCCCCTCTATTTCACTGAGTGGGAAATAGTCATGTGGACATGAGGAGCTGAACAGGGGTAGAGTTTTAGCATGGCTCGTTAAAAGAATTGTGCTCAGAGCCACTGTTGTACTTCTTTTGGCTCAGTCAGCCAAGCATTTGCTCCTTTAACATTGCTCTCCTTTGAGATGCTGTACTCTTCAGCAAATAACATTATCCGCAATGCCAGCAAAATAAAACCACATTCTTTCAAAAACTCAACATTTCACTATATTCCTAAAAGCATCACTATCTGTACGATAAGAACTAATGTCACCCAGAAACCCTATAGAACACATTGTGTTCTCTCTTGTAATCAGGCATAGGTTCACTCAATGACTAATATGCTCTTGGGATGCAAGACACATCTGCACTTTGAGGGATTTTTAGGGGATGTCCATAGCTTCACTGTTCCAAAATATATTCTTCCTCCTGCTAATGCTTCAAGAGAGAACATAATCCCTGCATGGAACATTGTAATCCATGGTCATGGAAGTATGATAGCAATAAAAGAATGATTAGCTTTGAATATGATTAAAGGGAAAATTAAATATTTACAGATACTTTCTCCTTTAAAATGCATCATTTGTATTCTCTTCCATTTCCAAAATTCCCTATGCACTTTGATCCAAATAAATACACTAGTATAATTAATAGCTACAGACAATCTCTCTAGTAATGGAAAACACATAGTGTTCTTATTTCACTGAGATTTTATTATAACGGGGAGATTACTAGCATTCACTTTCTGTTTGTATTTTCTTATTTATTTAGGCCCGGATCTGCTCCCAGCTACTCAACCTTGTGTCTCCAGCTTGCAACGTGTCAAAGAAAGCATTTGTCATTCGTTGTCAGCTTGATATGCAGGACTGTAATGATCCAGGGCAAAGAAATTGTACTTGTGCTACGCTATCAGAGTACTCTAGACAATGTAGCATGTCCCATCAAGCAGTCTCTGATTGGAGGAGTACAGACTTTTGCTGTAAGTTATAATGTTTTACTCTATAATTTTACATATATATGCTATAGCTAAAGAATAATTAATGACATTTTTAAAAGCCACTAGAAAATCTTCCACACTCACAAACAAAGGAGCGATCTGGTTGGGTTGAATATTAGATCCTGAGATGATCTTTGAGCACATGGCAACTTTCAAGAGTCAGAGCTTGGTACCCAACAAAAACAAAAAGATGAATTTATAGCCCAAGTCGTGGCCCCATCATTCAACAGTTAAATCAGCTGACCAGGCCATACACTCCTAAAGCTATTTCTTTAACCAACACCTTAAAATCTATTTCTTTAAAACACACACACACACCCCTTACTCTGAAATGCTTGCTTTTAATTCTTCTGTCAGCTAAACTACAGTGTTGACAAGCCACTAAAGGCAAAGTAATATTTCATCTATAAAGAAATATGCAGGAATTAACTATAGGCAGTCCCCGGGTTACGTACAAGATAGGGACTGTAGGTTTGTTCTTAAGTTGAATTTGTATGTAAGTCGGAACTGGCGTCCAGATTCAGCTGCTGCTGAAACTGACCAGCGGCTGACTACAGGAAGCTCGAGGCAGAGTTGCTCTGCCCTGGGCTTCCTGGAATCAGCCACTGATCTGTTTCAACAGCAGCTGAATTTGGATGCCTGGAACAGAGCAGCTGGGGCGCTGCCGGGTTGGTCCCGCAGCGCTGCTCCTCGGCGCTACTGGACCAACCCAGCAGCACCCCAGATGCTCTGGCCCAGGTGTACCCAAGTCAGCTGCTGCTGAAACTGACCAGCGGCTGAATCCCGGAAGCTGGGGCAGAGCAGCCGGGGGCAGAGGGGGTGCGGCGC